GCATTACACGTGCATAAGAACTAGTAAATGTAAGAATATGACTAAAACAGGAGAGAGAAAAAAAAGCAAAATTTAAAAGTATTAAAGTTACCCGCTGCTTAACTTTTATTTTGCGCTCGTTTTCTTTTTAGGCTCGGTCCAACTTGATTATCATTTTTGGGCCTAACTATCGGGATTTCTATGCAAAAACATTATGCGTCAAGTTCTGAGCTGATCACAGAAAATAAAGTGAGTTTTTTATGGTTCAACGCACCTAGGTTGGTTCACTTGCAGATTGTGGACCGTGCTTGCGTTGTATTTTGGAGAGAATCTTAGATGCTAAATTTTTTTTCTCCTTTCCCATGAAACTAGGATTTAATGGATTTGACAAATGGAATCAAACAACTAAATATTAGCCACGGAAATGTGTGTGTTAAATGCTCCATTCTATAAAAGGATATTCCTTATCCGAATAAAAAGCTAGACAAGCATCAATGTCGGCCCTCAGTGGAGATAAAATCAAAGCGTATAGAAATTAATTGATTGACGGTCCCAAATCCAATTCAATACGCCTCTCTTCATCTTATACATTTTTTTTTGTTGTTCTTATTTTTTGTCCCCGTCAGATTTTCTCTCTCGTTATTATTATGTTGGAGCTTCGGTGTCTGGTTAGGCTGTGCATGCTGACCACTTAATTTTCGAAAAACCCTAGTTTCTGTCTATATATATACGGACGCTCTCTTTTGTAGTTATATTTTGATTAAGAAAAAAGAAACCCTAATGCGACTATGGATATAGACGAATTGACAAACCAAGAAAAATTCCATGTCTTTTATAGTTGCTTCTCATATATTCCTTGCTTTCTTTCTCACTCGCAAGAGTTTTCGTTCCTATAAAGTATTGCTAGGCTTCATCTAAACTAATTTCCGGTGATATGAATTTGTAGACTTTCAATCATATATTGCTGTGAGAGCTTAGCGTTTAATAGCCAAATCTCTTATTTTTATCGTTGGTGTTTTGTTCGCTAATAATGTTCGCAAATAGTATTTTGTGTGTGTATGTATATATATATATGTTGGCAGTTCGTGTACGTCTTTAATGAACCGTGTTTGGGAACTATCTACACACTACACTGCAAAATGCGGCTGGAGCCCATAATTCTTCTACGTGTGAGGATAGCATTAATCATGTTCAAATTTCTTCAAGAATCTTCGGGTTATGATTTGAATTTGACAATGACCTCAATTTGATGAGGACTGGCCGATTATGCCGTTGTTATCGCGATATTTAGCACCCCATCTTCAACACTCACGTCATCTGCTCTGTTGCTGACTTAATATATAAGTATTAATTAGTTTATATATTTGATTACTTTTTATTAATTATAGAGATAAGTGATTTTTCAAAGCACGCAAACTTCAACCCTTGATACTCAGAGCCTTACAGTTCCCTGTCATGCTACTAGTTTTATTTGGCTTTCAATAGATCATGATTTTCTTTAAATAAAAAAAAAGGAATGGATAAAAATGAACGATTGTAACGGGCTCAATCTAAAGGAAATTATAACATACATTTACGTACACTTCATTGTACATCAGTTAGTTAATTATACATTTAGATGTGAAATGTGAGCATCGCTATCATTGAAGTTATGATCAGAGAAGTTGAGAATTGCATTACGCGACAAAGTATAAAAAAGGAGTGGCTGTTCTCTAGACAAGCTATGGAGTAAGAAAGAGCATTAGCTTGGCTCTATGAAGCATGCGGCCATTGCAAGAATCAATGAAGATATTTGCGGACCCCATACGAGAAAGAGGCATCAAATTAAAAGAGAAAATAATGAAGCATGTGTGGGGTTAATTTATTGTAAGAGGTAAGCATATATAATATAAATGGTCAATTTTGTCATTTTTTTTTTGTTAAATGGTCGATTTTAACAAATGGTCGATCTGATTCAGCAAAAAATGGTCGATTTTACTAATTTTTTTGTTAAATGGTCAATTTTGCCTATTAAATTTGAAAAACAATTGTTTTTCAAAATATCTCCTCCTGTTTATCTTTTTCATAATGAAAGAGATTGAGCGTCATAGTATTCACATATGAGAGTTTAAAGTTGTAAAGTTCATACAAGAATCAATATGCTTAAGTATTATAATCCCGTAGCATTCAAAAATATTACCGTTAGATTATCCACATAACAGTTGAAAGTTTACTGCACACGAAAAATTAAGTTTCGGATCTTTTGATGCTATAAAGAGCCACTTCATCAAGGGGAGGAAGATTAGTGCTTGTTAATGCAGTTCTTTCCTCTATGTCAATCTTTTGGATATCTTTTTTCTTATTTCCAGGGTGGCTCATTGATAAAGTTGATATGATGAGGAGAAGATTTTTATGGACTGGCTCTTTGGAACATAAGAATTCTTCTAACTTGGTTAAATGGGAAGAGATATGTAGACCCAAAAAGTTAGGTGGCTTGGGTATTATAAATTTGAGAATTATGAATAAAGCTTTGTTGGGAAAATGGATTTGGAAATGGTTTGATAATAAGATGGATCTATGGAAACAAATAAGTTTTTACAAGTATTTTGAGAATAAAAACTGGACAGAATATTTTTATTCTGGCAAAAGATCCCTATCTCATTTCTGGAGGAATATTTTTATTAATGTTGATAGCTTTTTGTGCAGTACTTGTGTAGAAGTGGGGAATGGAAATAAAGCTCTTTATTGGCTTGATAAATGGACAGGTGCAAATACACTGGCTTCTATGTTCCCTTCTCTTTATAATATTGCATCATCCCCTTTTGCTACTATTACCAGTTTGAGGAAAAAATTAAATAATGAATGGATTTGGGTTATTAAATTTCAACAGTTGACAGGAAATCTGGTATTTCAATATTTTGATATGTTGAACAATATTATGCTTATTAATTTTGTTCATAGGGAGGATAAGAGAAAGTGGATTTGGGAAGCAAAAGACAAGTTTACTGTTAAATCATATTATCATTTTCTTATTGATGGAGGCTTAAGGTATGACTGCTTAAATCTTTGGAAACTTTCTGTTCCTCTAAAAGTGAAATTTCTGGTTTGGTTAGCTTTAAAAAATGGTTTAAACACGAAAAAGAATTTAGTAAAGAAAGGAGTTCATATGGATGTGTTGTGTTGTTTTTGTTCCAAGGAAGAGGAAAACCATCTTCATCTTTTTGTTAAATGTGAGTTTGTATACTCAATTTGGAGATCTGTCCAATACAAAGTGAATATTAAGAAAGATTTCAATTTATTTTCTTTAAAAGAAATCTGGAAGAATTGGAGGGATGAGAAGTATGATAGTTGGAATATAGAGAGATGTGATTCTTTGTTCTCTTATATGGTGAATTTGGCAGGAAAGAAATGATAGAATTTTTTCAAGTAAGAAGAGGAGATCATTAGAACTTTTGAACAAAATTTTGACTTTTGCAAAATTTTGGATACGTTCACAGATATTTGATCGTGCAGCTAGATTACAAGAGAGGAGGAGGAAAAAAGCTTCTTCAATTGCTGGAAACTCTTCTGTCTGCACAGTTGGGAGGGTGATAGATCTGCTGGAATGAAGGCTAAGCTCAAAAAAGAAATATGCTTTTGCGGTCTAAATATGAAAAAATTGTATATGTGTTGGTTTTTTGATACAGTTTATGATATTTTGTTATCAATTGCTAGTGGGAGAAGAGAGTTGGTGAAGTTTAATGTAAAACTTTGATACTATAGGGTACTCATTCTTGGTTGGGGATGAGTACTTTTTTTGTAACAACCAATTTTGTTTAATTTAGCTGGCTGGATTACTATGTTGGTAATCCATCCTTTTTCTAAAAAAAAAGAGCCACTTCAGACGCAACACATGTTTCTAGAACTACTTGTGCTAACATAAGCATTTAGATAACATAGGCAGGTCCCCAATTTTAAGGTAATATTGGGGAAAACTAGAATAAATGATATCTGAATCAGATTTATTTGACATTTTGACAAAGAAGTTTACCACCGGCAGACCTCATTGACAACATTGTTATCGTGATATATGCTTAGATCTTTATTTAAAAATTCAATAGATGGTTATAAACTATAACATATATATTAAACGAAAATAATTTAATATATATTGGATAACGAATACTATGATTCAGAAGGAACTCTTGATAATCTACAAATATCGTACTTAGCTCCAAACTATTAGATCATATGTCTATTCAGAACATCACATATGTAAGATGGATGTACTAATTTACTTATTTTGGATGGTAGAGCCACCCAGTCACCCCTTAAGCACTTTAGATGGCTTCGTCCAACCACTCCTGAAGATGAAAGATTAAAACATATCCCTCGTGCGCAGGATATCCTAATTGTTATTTCTGTATTGCATTAGTAGTAAAAATAGTTTTTTGAAATTATCCCTCTAATGACAAAAAACTAGAGAGATAATCCCTCCAAGTAAATGATTCTACCAAAAAATAATCTTTTTATGCTAGCTAGACAACATGCTACAAAATTTATTTGCTTTCTAATAATATGCGTGTAGCTCATAAATCTAGTCTTCCGCTCTTTAATCTCCTTAATTGCATTATTATGTAAGGATAGGACGTGGTATATACGATTGTTAAGAAGATAAAAAAACAGAAAAGTGCTCACCTTTTTTGTGTAATTTTCTTTCAAAACAAGGGGCATTACGTACAAATCACTCCCGCAACGGCCGAAATTTTCGAAAACGTACATTCAGTGGCCTGTTTTGTCGGCCAGCAGCGGGCCAATCCCATAATGACAGCTCAATAAAACGCCATAAATCTTCTCTTAATTACCAAACTACCATCCGTCAAACTGACAAAACTACCCTCACAATCGTGGCGGGCCCACGCGCCAAAGTGGCCCCCGGTTCCCTGTAGTGGGCGGTGAGATCTCCATCACGTGCGCCACGTCCTTTGGGAAGCCACGTCCCCACTATCTTTAAATTGACACAAACGTCCCTCGTCTAAGATGTCCCTTTTTTATCTCCTCCCTGTTCTTTGTTCAGAATCTAGCGAAAAAGCTCTCTGAAAATTTCTTTTTCAATTTTTTTTATCTTGTGAACAAAGAATCTATCTTCATTCAATCTTTTATTGCTTTAGAAGTTGAAAAGCTTGCTCCTTTTCCATCAGTGATCTCTGATTCTTTTTTTTTGGTTTCAGAGCTTCTACCTAAAAGTTCCAACCTTTTGAGCACACATTGCCTGCAAAACCTCAGTTTCCTCCATTGGTTGCCTGTTTATTTGAAATCGGTGACTGATAAAATATCCGCCTATCGAAACCCATTTATCAAAATTCCCTCTTGACCCAATACTCATTGCTATTTTTAGCTTCTAACGATGAAAAGCTGCCATTTTTTTATATGGGCCTGTTCCATTGTTCTGTTTTCTCCCATTGCCGACGGATTGGGAGTGAACTGGGGAACGCAGGCGACTCATCAGTTGCCGCCGATGACGGTGGTCCAAATGCTGCAGGATAATGGGATCAATAAAGTGAAGCTCTTTGATGCCGATGATAGCACGATGAGCGCGCTCGCCGGCACGAATATTGAAGTGATGATTGCAATCCCTAACGATCAGCTTGCTGTCATGAATGATTATGATGCGGCTAAGAAGTGGGTTGATCGGAATGTAACTCGGTATAACTTCAACGGAGGTGTTAATATCAAGTGAGTTTTTTTTTTGGGTTATTTTTTATAGATTGTTTTGATTTGTTTAGTTTTTTTTCCCTTGATTAGATTATACTTGATTATTGTTTTGAATAGTCGTGTTTTGTAGGATTTTATGAATAGCTGCTTAGAAAATGGTTATTTGTAAACTTTAGATATCGAAGGTTTTTTATGGGTAGGTCAAAACGTTTAATGGCCTGAAACTGATGTTCAAAGAATCAGAGGAAAAAATTGGAATTTGGATACAAGTATAAGCATGGTATTTTATATTTCAATGAGCATTAGATTCATTGCATTGCAAATTAACTCAAGATGCGGAGATATAGGTCTAATTGACTATATCCTACAGCCTACAAGCTGTGGAAAATGATTTTTTGTTTTTTATTAAAAAAAAACAGTATATTTAAAACATTAACTGATGTTATGAGTGTTTTCTCAATACAAATTTGCTCTTTATAATTATAAGTTTCAAGAATTTTTTTGCTTGCATTGATTTTCTCAAATTTATTTACAAATTAATTCTTACAATATAATTTTCTTGTGCTTGTAACTGTAAAGAAGAATAATTGGGTATGCTTTTATGAATCCAAAATAAGCTGCAAGCAGTTAAAAGTGATAGGTTTTTTTTTTTAATATTGGAAACAGAATATCTAAACATTTAGTTGGTGCTGTGAGTGTTTTCTTCAATAAAAATCTGTTTTTGATGATTTTAATCCATAAGTTTCAATATGCTTTGATTTTGACAAGGGCATGATTTTCCTTAAATATATTTAGATTCAGTTACCCCGTTACAGTCTTCGTATAGGTCATTGAATAAGGATAAATGAACATTTCACATGAATTCAGTTAGATTCTATACTACAGAGATTCAATTAAAATTGTGCTCTTTCTTTGCTGATCCAAGTATAGTCTATTGCTTCAGATAGGAACAGAATTAAATCAAGAAACCATCTAATTTACTGTTAGCTACAGAAGCCTGTTGAAAAATGATTGATTTATGTAGAAATAGAAAATCTAATACATTAACCTGATCTTGTGAGCGTTTTCTCATAGAACTGTTTTTTTTTATGATTGTAGAATTTTCTATTTATATCAATTTGGTTACATTTTTGCGATCTTCTCATATTTGAACTACGCAGAAGGATTATTGGGTATTGTTTCATGATTCAACTTTGAGTCTATACAGCTATACTGCATTCCCATCAAAATGCTCAACTTCACTCTATATCCTCCATTGATTTCTACTCCATCTACCCAACAGTTGTTTGATTCTTTCATGAATTCAACGATTACATTCTGCATACAACTGAGAGATTTCATCACCCTGATGGTCTTATTGTTCTCTTCCTTTCAACAACAGATACGTAGCAGTGGGTAACGAGCCATTCCTGACAACCTACAACGGATCTTTCCTCAACACGACGATGCCGGCCCTCCGAAACATCCAGAACGCCATCAACGACGCCGGCCTTGGCGACACCATCAAGGCCACCGTCCCCCTCAACGCCGACGTCTACAACTCCCCGGCCTCCAACCCCGTCCCCTCCGCCGGGCGCTTCCGCCCCGACATTGCCGACCTCATGACTGAAATGGTCCAATTCTTCCACCAGAACAACGCCCCCTTCACCGTCAACATCTACCCCTTCCTCTCCCTCTACGCCAACCCTGACTTCCCTTTCGACTTTGCCTTTTTTGACGGCGGAACCGCCACCCCTGTCGTTGACGGCCCCATCCAGTACACCAACGTCTTCGACGCCAATTTCGACACCCTCGTCTCCGCTCTCAAAGCCGTTGGATTGGGCAACCTCCCCATCGTGGTCGGAGAAGTCGGCTGGCCGACTGATGCTGATAAGAACGCGAGAACAGACCTTGCGGAGAGATTCTATGCTGGACTATTAAAGCGCCTGGCGAACAAGCAAGGCACGCCTCTTCGCCCTGGGGCAGATATTGAGGTGTACTTGTTTAGTTTGATTGATGAGGATGCAAAGAGTATCGCGCCAGGTAGTTTCGAGCGACATTGGGGGATTTTTCGCTATGACGGTCAGCCTAAGTATCCGATGGATTTATCCGGTCAGGGACAGAATAAAATGCTGGTGGGAGCGAAGAATGTGCAGTATCTACCGAAAACATGGTGCGTGTTCAATCCCGACACGAAAACAGATTTGAGCAAGCTCGGCGATAATATCAACTACGCGTGCACGTTCGCGGATTGCACTTCTCTTGGATACGGGTCTTCTTGCAACGGGCTCGACGCCAACGGAAACGCTTCGTATGCGTTCAATATGTACTTCCAGGCGCAGAATCAGAAGGAGTTGAGCTGTGTTTTTGAAGGGCTTGGGATGATTAGCACGCAGAATTATTCGAAGGATCAGTGCAATTTTATCGTTCAGCTTGCTCCTTCTGCTGGTGTAGTTTGCTCTGTACCGCTGCTCGCGGTGCTTTTGTTGGTGTGTTTTGTGATGGGATTGTTGTTTTGAGGTTTGAAAAAGTTGGTGTAAATTTTTTTTTTGCTTAGGGGGATGGGGGGTTAGGGATGGGGGGGTTAGCGTTTGATGTTTATTACTTGTAGTATTCTTATGGAGTTTACAGTGTTCGAGTGATTTCTTGTAGGCATAGAGATCTGAGATGCTGTGATACAGTATTTTTTTTCTTTTTTTTTGGGTGCAGATTATAGTATAGTTTCACATGCTTATGTTGGGGGTTCTAAAAGCAATGTCATGTGCAGACTTTGTGAGGAAAGAGGATGGAGACGATTGGTGTTGAAATCCTATGGATTAGTAAATTAAATGTTGAGTAGCAGCAAAAGAAGTGATAAGAGAATTATTTTTTCCCCTTCATTTTTCTTAATAATTACTTAATCTAGTTTCTGATCAATATCTGGGAAATCGAGTTAACTCACTTTTAAGTAAACCAAAGCAACAAGATTTTTTTTTTATGGAAAAACAAGGGTTATACCTTGTTCATTAAAAATAAGAGTAAATTTTGTTTACAAAAGAGGATACGAACTGTATCCTTGAAAACTTGGTAGATAGAAAAAGTAATTTCTCTTAACCAGTGATGTATAACCTTCTTCTCCCATACATCCGTAAAGATGAAGAGAGGGCTTTGCCGTCATTCACCATTGACACAGATATAAGGAAGAACCAAAGCCGGCCATACATATAGTAAAAAAAAGTTAAGCTTTCTATAAACCAAGAGAGAGAAAAACAATAAACAGTTCCACAAAAGATTATATATACATGTATCAAAAAAAGAAAAACTAGCAGCACCTAATTTCCACTGCACTTTGAAATTGGCTTTTCTTGCAAAATCCCTGCTAACTTGATAGCATTCTTCTTCCTTTCAGCTCCTGCCCAATCATATAAAGCAGAAATTGCTGAATTAATGATAGATTGAACAGTGAAAGGTGTCTGTTCAAAAATAAATTTATTTCTTGAAGTCCATATACACCAACAAACTGAAGATAAAATAGACCGCCATAAAAGCCAACAAGATTATGAGTCATTCTTCCATAAATATCTGATCATAGAAGTAAACAATTCAACTTTATTATTATTATTATTATTTATACTGAAATCAAATCAAATTAGTCACCAAATCAATTTGTTATTATTATTATTATTATTTATACCAAAGCAATCTGATCATAGAAGTAAACAATTAGTCACCAAAACAAATTAGTCACCAAATTAGTCACCAAATCAATCTGATCATAGAAGTAAACAATTAATCCATGTTGGCCTGGTCTACAGTCAAATATCAAATAAAATTAGTCACCAAGACATAGAAACTCCAAGACTTGATCGCTGATGACCATAAATTTCTGAGTTAGAGAAGAAATATAAAAAAGATCATGTTCATGTCACACGTTTACAAATCCCTTATTCAGCTCAAAGAAATCTCAATATCAGAACCATTACTAACATCCCTGCGAAATCTCTGTGCAAATTAATCCCAAATCTTAACTTATCAGGTGTTGAACTATGCTTAGGTACGTGCCTTTAGCAGCACAAGATTAGAGCATTTCTCAAGATACAGGATGCTTTCTTGTGACGAAAAGGCAAATCTATGAACCTTGCAGCTTGTTTAAAGCCGATGATCAAGAAAATAACATGCTTTCAAGGGACAGATCAGATATAGATACCTGCATTTGTGCTGGAGTTGCATCAGCTTGCGGCCAAGCAAAGCCATCAATATTTTCTTTAAAATCTGAGATTTTTATTGTCAGATTAGTCTTTCTGGTCTTTACAAGTTGGTAATAATCCTGGCTCAATCAGCCAGATTGTTGATTACTTAGCCCAGACTGATCCAAGCCTTTTCCTCTTTAAAACTGTGGGGGGTTTATGGCCTTATCAGTAAGTTGTAATCAGGTTCAAAAATGTCGCCTTAAAAGCGACGAAAACATTTCATCATAAGTGCTGTCAAACACAAATTCAAAATGAAAGAGCCTGGTAGTCTGAAATCAACTTGTACCACTCTCTCTGCTCCTTTCATTGCGGAATCTAGTAACATTGCAACAATCCATTTGTTGCGAGTCATTCTCTCATAAACCTGATCATTATATCGCCTATCATCGAAAGAATCTTTTTATCTTATTGGTCCAAGGGAATAGGTATCTGCTTTTTTCAACTTACACTCTTACCTAACATAATTATCCTGGAAACATTTTGGCTTCTGAAAACCTTTATAACCAATTATTCTGTCACGCTGCAATAAAGAGAGAAAAAATAAACATAAAATCCCTATGTCTAGCTTGCAACTCTAAAAAGGTACGGTACATATCCCTAAAGGTCACCACTTATTGTAGTTCGGTATACATAGTGAATATATTTGCAAGAAAGTATGAAGCAGAAACGCATGCATACCTAATAAGGCCTAAGCCATACATTCTCTTGAACATTTGAAAGTGTTTGACAAACTCTCAAAATCGAGTCAGGATCTATCTTGGTCCAAGTTCCCTCAGCACAAAAAATATCCACCAATATAAAGCTTGACCACCTCCTCAGTTTTCTTCGTAGCCTGGATAAGTTGAAATCAGGCCATGATCAATCATGGCCTACTTTTGTAGTGTTCGGCAAACACAGCCATTACCTCTTGATATAATCGAAATTTCTCTGTTGATTGAAAAAGAACAAAGCAAGCTCATGCTGAAACCAAGAGCGTATAATACCAGACTAAAGTTGTATCAGGCTCCTTGTTTAAATTATTGGCAGCTGTATTGTCAAACTGTTCCAAATTAGAGGAATATCCAAATGTTTTGCTATGATTTTATCTCGAAATATCAATGTCTCTGCACTCGTCATCTCTTATTAGGTTTAATTCCGTATAGAAAGAGACGTTCAAAAGAACGTAGATGTTAGAATTCTAGCTACATTTCTCAGAGGAAGTGGACTTGTTGAATTTAGCTAAGGTCTAAACCATGACCAAACTAGAAGATATCAAGTGACAAGAGTTCTCCTTAATTCATATACGATGCAAGCTAGTGATGATAGAAACAAAACATTCAGATTAATTATTTGAGAGCATGCAGATTAACAAACAATCTTCGAGTAAAACATTAACTACAGATCATATATATTGTTTCAACCTTCAATGCTGAACCCTAAGGGGCTGTTAGGTTCAATTTCTATAAAAAAGAGGAAAAAGAAAAGTACTCAAAATTTGATTTCCTTGTATTTCTATAAAATTTGTAGAAAATTTTATAGAACTCAAAAGAGTACCATATTTCTTATTTTTTGCTATTTCTTTGTTTGGTTCAAAGTATGAAAAAGTTTCTAACTTTATAGAAAATACGTTGTTTTCTTTTTTTTTTTTTTTGGTTGGATGTCACTTTATAGAAAATAGCTTAGAGGCTATTTGTTTGCCTAAATTGAAGAGAGAAATCAAAGAATAGGAAACCTATTTCTAAGAAAAATTATTTTGAGATTGTTTGGTTGGCTAAAAAAACGAAATCAAAGAATGAAAGGTGAGATGAGATGAATTGTCACATTATTATTGAATGATGTTGGTGATTTTTTAAGAAAACTTGTTTTGAGGTTGTTTGGTTGGCTAAAAAAAATAAGAAAATGAATTATAAGAAACATATTTCCTGTAATAGGTTCTTTTCTTGTGTTTGGTTCATTCTTAAATAAGAAAATAGATGAGATGGGATGAGTTGTCATTATATTATTGGATGATGTGACCCACACTTAAGAAAATCAATTTCCTTGGTTTTTTGAGGAAATGGGTGGAAATGAAATGTTAATGAGATGAGATGAGTTGTCACCATATTATTGGATGATGTGGATGATTTTTAAAGATGAGATGAGATGAGTTGGATGATGTGGCCCATTTCTTGTGTTTGGTTTATTTTAGGAGATGATATGAGATGAGTTGTGGGATGAAAATAATATTTTATTAGATGTTGTGATGAGTTGTGGGATGAAAATAATATTTTATTAGATGAGTTGTGGGATGAAAATAATATTTTATTAGAGTTATGGGATGAGTTTTAGGGATGAAAATGGATGAAAATAATATTTTATTGGTTTTCATGTACCATTTTCATTTTCTTGATTTTTAGGAAACCAACCAAACACCTACTCACTAACAATGACCATAGGAAATCACATGGGAAGAGTACTGATGTACTTAATTATTTTTTTAATATATGTCTCAGATTTCTAGGTGACTTCCGCCCATTTTGAGCAGAAATTAATTTCTATAAAATGGGGTACTTTTCTGTACTTCATAGAAACTTTTTGTAATTTTTTTTGAACCAAACACAGTTTATAAAAATCTCTAGAAAAGTTTTATTTACAAAACTGTCACTATCAGCAATTTTCTATAAAGTTTTTTATAAAACCACTCAACCAAACAACCCCTAATTATAGCCCATTGCTCAAACTTCGAAGATTTAATAGGCATTCAGAAAAGTTAATAAAGGTCGGAAAAAGAAAGAAGCGTGTTTCATCAGCGGAAAACGTATACAGGGAGTACGATTGATTCAAAAATGTCTAAACAAAATCTATCAAGACAAATTCCTGTAATTGATAGATCAATCAGAAAATACACTTATCATTTTAATCTAACAAACCCTTATAAAGCCCATAAAGACTTGGGATAACTACACTTTTCATAATGTAGCAGAAGAAAATTGGAAAGGAGAAAGAAAAGCAAAACTTGCTGCTCTCATTTTGAATTATATCTTCCCTTTGAGAAAATAAAATGCATATAAGTTTGTATATAATATTTCCAAACACTCAGCACACGACACAGACAGAATGATCACACAAACTCAGTCCACAAAGTTTTAAGTTGGAACTACATCAGAGAGTACCTTATCATTGTCAATCCAGAAAATTGACAAGATAACAGCAATAAGAACAAAGGAAAACAAACCTAGGACAGCCTTATCAGATTTTCCGCTCCTTGTTTTCTTCATCTGAACTTTTTCTTCACCTTTGCAACAAATTATGCATGACGTTGTGCAAGGACAATCTGTCGATTCATTTGTTAGATGCTCGCCATCCCAGAGTGTCTGTTGGGTGTGCAACCGTTTCATGCTTCCATTGACCCTTGCTTCGATTGTATGGTTCAAATTCTGAGAACTATTTGCTCTATTTAGTAGCATGTTAGGTTTCCATTCAACTTCAACTGAGGCAGGACTTGTAATGATCCTAGAATGTTGTATTACATGATCTCTGAAGTTGGCACTGGAAGTATTTCGAAGAGGCCCATTGAGCTTACGGGGTGTGTAGTATATATTTGCATTATCAATAAGTTGTGGTCTTGACCTCTGAAAAAAGCAAGAGAACACAATTAATCTTTAACCACAATTATAAACATGATTTTGTTGTAGATCATTGTAGTTCGTAGTTACCACCACTCTGAGCCATGCAAGTGTTTATCTATTAAAGTAAGAAGGAAACACTTAAGACTTCACCTGCACTTAGTGACACAAGATGAACTACCTAGAGGCATCCCCTACACGTTGGAACTTACTAATGCATATCTACAGGTAGATTGAAGGAAACAGAAGTGACCTTAAGCTAACTGCACTTGATGATATTTTTTTAAACAACAGTCAAGCTAAATAAGGAGTTAGAATCGAAGTATAGTAATAAATTCTTATAACTGACTAAAATGAGTATCCATGCAAATTGAACAAATTATGCGGAAAAAAAACTCATACCGGAGGACTGCTGGTGAATGATCGGGCAACAATATTTTGTGCAGGTAGAGACTCCAAGTGTTCCGCGTGTGGTTCACTTAGCTCATCCTTAAATCTTTCAAGATGAACTATTGAACTATCACTGCTTGAAAGAGCTTGACGACAAAATCCATTTTCGTTTGGTGCATGAATGCCTCTAATAGCATCCCCCCATAGCCTCCTACTTGCTCGCCTACCATTCTCAACATTGCAAGAAGATTTTCCAAGAGAGAGTGGAGAGTCAACTGAAAACTCATCACTATCCTCAGCATCTCCGCTGTCATCTTTATCAACTTGTGGATTATTTCTAACAATTATCTTATCAGAATTCGAACCCGCGAAGGGACTTGAACATACTTTGCTTAAAGATTCTCTCTGCCTGGCTACAATTTTAGCAGTCTGCAATGCTTCAAAAGCTGCACCCCTAACAAATGGCAAACTATCATTCTGGCTTTCCTCCAGGACATCAACAATTTTAGCAATTTCTGAACAGATGCTCCTTGAATCCACACACTTCATCAAAAAATTAATCATCTGAATGGCGGAAAGCCGCTTCTGTGAATTCTTCTCTTTGCTATCAGCAGTTAAAATTTGTAGGCCAGAACGTATGAGGGATCTTGAATAAGCATCGATAATCAAAGTATTATGCTGCAACAGAGCCATAACCAGACCCATATGGGAGGCTGTCTGAGTTTGATTCTCCTCGAGAGCACCTGCAACTTTGAGGCAGACCTCATTGACAACATCGTCTGAAGCAAATCTCCAGTTATCAGATTCCACAAGAGCTTTAAGGCACAAAGCAGCTCCTGATGCAGCATTCTCCTGTGAACCCATCAGTACGTTCGATAGAGGCTTAGATAGAGAGCAAACTATTCTCGCCTTCTCATTCTCAAGCATCAAAGGATCAATGCAATACCGAGCAATCGCTGGAACCACTTTGGAGCAAGACTGGTGGAGGGCAAAAGATCCGGAGGTTGATGACAAAGTCTTAACGATGAGATCCATAATGTTGTTGATATATGGAACAATGCTGCGGCCATGGCTTCTGACAAGGACCTCAAATAGAGATATTATACTCTCTCCAGATGGTGAGCTTGGATCTTTGATCTCAGAGGCCCGAGAAAGAAAGATAGGGATGGTTTTAGAGTCCAAATCTTTGACGTAAGATTTGAGTGCCTTCATTGCAGCCCTACGGGTCTCAGGGTCTTTCTCAAGGTTCTCCAGCTCTATGAAGAGCAGTTGGCTTATATTTCTACCCATCGGAGACACTGAAGACATCAAAAGAGGAGCAAAAGCAAGATAAATGTCCAGTTCGAGAAGTCACCTTAATTGATTCTGTTAAATGTATAAGAGACATATTGCACAAAACATGAATTGGGTCATCAAATAAGCTAATGAAAGAAAATGTCTGCTCTGATTTGCTTCTTCCAGAATTTAATTTCTATCTTGGCTATAAGTAGAGAGTGACCACCTAAATAGAACAGAGATTTAGCTTTCTATTATGGACTGGTCACAAAACAGTCAGAATCAGAAAATAATCGATAAGCATGAAAACTTAACTCGATTTACCAACGTGCAAGATATCGATATTTGAAACTGAACGGGATGGATTGATTCGTCAAGGAAACAAATACAGGGGTTAGAGTTGTTCTCCTGTTTCTATTAGGGTTCCATCATGAGCGGTCAAATTTCATCAAATGGGTAAAGCAACGCATCTTTGTTTTAGAATTCCAAATTTCCCCAATGGGTTAAATTGAGTCTTCACTATTGAAAACAAAATCGCTGTAAATCAATAAACCAATTCTTGTTTTGTTTTACCAATTTAAGCAATCATCAAAGTTATAAAAGAAATAATCAAATTCACCTAATGGGTAACTAAAATTGTGCTCTTTCTTCTACAATAATGTCAAAAAAATCCGAAAAGAGCCAATCTTTATGAAGAATTTCAAATGGGTTTTTATATAAACAAAAGAAACCATATTTCATCATAAGAGAAAGGAACAAACTTCAGGGCTGAGAATTCAAGAGAAAGGGATAGACTTGGTTGCGAGCTGGAGAAGTTGCAATCTTCGTCTTCTCGCTGCCCTAATTCTTCGATTCTGGAGAAACTGGAAAGGAAATCTCGGTGAGCTGTAAGAATTAACGCAGGATTTAGGGGTTTTGTAATAGAGATTTTCTATTTGGAAAGTTTGGAGGGTACCCGGACATTTGAATTGTATTTGCAGAATGCCCCCGCTATCCTCTGTGTTTTACCACTTTGCACCGAACTGCTTCTGTAATATTCTGATTCTACTCGTGGGGGCTGTTTGGTTATTTCCTAAAAAACCAAAAATTAGAAATGCAAACCAAGAAAACTCAAAAAGTACAATTTCACACATTTCCATCTTTAAAATTCACCCACAACATCTAATAAAATATTATTTTTATCCAACAACTCATCCATCACATCTAATAAAATATTATTTTCATCCAACAACTCATCCATCACATCCACCACATCTAATAAAATATTATTTTCATCCACAACATCACTCAACTCATCTCATCTCATACTTAAAAATTACTCACATCATCCAATAAGATTGTGACAACTCATCTCATCTCATTAACATTTTATTTCTTTGTTTTCCTCCCAAAAAGCTAGGAAAACAATTTCCTTAAGGGTCCGTTTGGATAATGAAAGTATTGGAAGTAAGAAATAAGTTACGGAAGTAACTTCCAAAACTATGAAATAGGAAGTAGCGGAAATAACATTTTTTTGTTTGTTTCATATATTTTTAGAAGTAATGGAAGTAGAACTTCTTCCTCTTCATTTACTTTTTTTGTTTGGATAATATTTGGAAATATTACTATAAAGTAATTAATACATGTTGCTTCTATTTTATTATTGTTTGGATTGTCGTTGAAATAGAAATAGAAGTATTATAACACACAATATTCTTGCTGCAATGATATTGAAACATAATTGATTGCTTGTTGCCGCAATTGTCGGAGACTCGCAGTACAATTTTGCTACTATATATGGCAAAATTTGATAATGAAATATGATTTTTCTAACTGGTGCCTATAAGCACTTACTAGAGGATGATTATCTATCAGATTTTGCAAGCTTTATACTTTCTTTTAAAGCATCACATATATTTCTACTATACATGTATCATACTGTTTTCTTCTTATTATTGTCTTTATTTCTAATTTATGAATTTCCATTAAAAGCAATATTTCCAATTTATGAAGGGAAAAAAATCTTTTATATATGTCACATGTTCAACAGAAAAGTATGTCATTCATCAATTTCAATAACAATATTTTTTATATCTACGAAAGCAAAAAATGCATGGACGGCATTCATCAATTTTAATAATAATATTTTTTATATCTACGAAAGCAAAAAATGCATGAACGGCATATCACTGTCATAATTTTTTTAAATGTTTATAAAAAAGATTTTATGATTACATATCAACTTCCGTCGTAATTATGATTTTGAGAATCTTTTTTCTTTCGTGGACCCTACCCTACATCAACTTCCGTCGTATTTCAGTGCATTTGAAGACGGAAAAATATCAAGGAAATAGAGGTGTCACGTAGACGCAACGTCAGAATTTCAATGAAGTAGCGGAAGTAGTTTTTACAAAGAAACAAACATACATTTTTGCCAAGAAGTAGCAGAAGTAGCCTCTACTTCCTCTACTTCTGCTATTTCATAGTTACTTCTATGCAAACAAACGGGCCCTAAGTGTGGGTCACATCATCCAATAATATAATGACAACTCATCTCATCTCATATATTTTCTTATTTTTAAGAAATAACCAAGCAAAAGAAAACAACCTATTACAAGAAATAGGTTTCTTATAATTTATTTCATTATTTTTTTCACCAACCAAACAACATTAAAACAAGTTTTCTTAAAAAATCACTCACATCATCCTATAATAAGGTGATAACTCATCTTCATTTCTTTGATTTCCTTCTTTTTTTTAGCAAAACAAACACTCCCAAAATAATTCTTTGATTTAATAGTTTTCAATTTCTTTGATTTTCAATTTTTTTAGGCAAACAAACAGGCCCGTGGAAGAAAAGGTTGGATTTTGCCCCGTTGAATCGCTATTCGTCTTATTGATATTTACGCTAAAGAACACTTAAATACTTTATAGTTTCACCTACTTTGCATTTATATACTCTTAACTTTTTTCGGCCACGTTAATTTATATATCCAGAGATATTTAAATTTTGCATTTTACCACCATCTATTTAGCATAAATGAAAATTTTTCCTTAGAATAATTCCATGCGATACTCATATGCTACTTTTAGATTTTTTTTTTAGATTTTAATGTATTTCTAGATTTACTGTTGAGCCTATTCTGATTTTATTTTAAACCTGTTCCTGTCACATTATTAAATAGAGTTATGCAAAGCGCATCGGTAAATTCAACAAATATTAATAGTTAAAATGCTCTAGTACTAGCTTGTAAATGTCACACAATAATTTTCGAGGGAGTACTCTTGCATTTGGATAATCTAGCACTAATTGTGCAAATTTAAAAAACTCCAAAGTATACGAGTTTTAGCAAAAACAGAGTGAGAGTACATAAGTGCAAAACATGAGAATCTTTAAAGTTCAAATTTAGATAAGCTCTAATGGTTATCGTGTGATTCATGTGGTTGACCAAAATAAATAAATAAAAATAATTGTTACCGGTGTATTTTGTTGCCAATTATTTGCTTATAAAATCAGTATATACAGAATAATCAAATCCATGACAATTCATAATAATGTTGTAAAAAGAATTACCCTGCGTAATATTCAAGCGAACATCATTTGATAATTGTTACTTGGGTTTTTTTGAAATAGGCAATTAGATTACACCAATTGAAAAGGTTAATTGCATTAAAATGATCTATTGTTCCTCTTTTTTTATTTTCCCAAGTCACAGGATCTTATTTGTAAAACATTGTAAACAAATGCTCTAAAGTTTACATTTACTTCAAATAATTAACCTAAAGTTTATAAATGTTTTAAATAAATACCCTAGAGTTTACACCATTAATTATCTGTTACGTATTTTGAGAATATTCCTATGTGATATGCACGTGACAATACGAGGCATTTTATTATATGCAACTTAGGTTATTGATGCAGCATTAAATTGATGCAACATTTTATATATGATCTTAAATTGATTCAAGTTTTTCAAACTTTCTAATTTTCCAAATTATATATGCAACTTAGGTTGTATCATTTATGACTACTTATATATTATTACTGTTTTATTTTGCATTCTTTTACTACATCAATTTTTGTATATTAAACAAATCCGTGCATCGCACGGGCTTGAAACTAGTATCATTAATTCACACCGGACTATCCTTATGTTATATATTCCGTTTATTCTTCCTCAAATTAGACCTAAAACTGACATTTTTTACGTTGTCACTATTTGATTCAATGCAAAGAAGCAAAAAGGCAAAGCTCAAGATGTTCAAGCCCTAGTCCATACAGCTGCCAGATTGCTCGATTTCCCCTTCCCCCACTTCGAATTCACGGGGGGTTATTGGTTGGGATATTTTGGAGGATAATGGGATAATTTTGATGATTCTATTTCATAGTATTATTCGTTGGGACAATAGAATAAGGATAATATTTTTTTGTGTTATTGGTTTTTTGGAACACTAGTGAGATAGTTACACCACTTGGGGTAAATTTACCCCACTCATATACAAAAATTTTGTCCCAATAGTAAAAAATTACCCCATCCTCCATATTAGAACAATGTTGTTTCACTTTGAAGGCAATTAGGATAATTTTTAAATATTTTTGTATTATTTAACTAATATATGCTAATTATATTATAAATATATGACATGATATATAAAACATAACATATATTAATAATATTATGTAATATATTATTAATTAGTAATTATAGTATAACATATTTATTATAATATTATATAATATTTTAATAACATATATTAAATATTTTAATAACATATATATAATATTTTAATAACATATATTAATATATCAATTATTATATAATATAGCATACTAATATAATGTTAATTAGTAATTATTGTATAACATATTATATTTTTGTATAAATAAAGTAATATATTATATTAAATATACTAATATTATATTATATTAATTATTATATATAGTATAACATGCTAATATAATATAATAATTAATAATAGTAATTTGTAAGTATAGTATAATATATTATATTTTAATATAAAGTAATATAATAATTAATAATAGTAATTTGTAAGTATAGTATAATATATTATATTTTAATATAAAGTAAAAAATAATATTTATATTGTCATAATATACTAAATAATATACTAAACCAATTAGATAAGTTAATTTAGAAGTAATTAATAGATAAAATTATATTTTAATAAGGTGCCATATCATTAATTATCCCACATGCATTGTCAAATCAAAAGGCTCAAATTATCCCATTATCCTACTTTACCCCACTCAAAATATTCCAAAGGGATAAAATTATTCTACTGGAACAATTTTTCCACTTGGCCACTATTTGTCCCAACCAATAACCCCCCTCAGAGCATCTCCAACAGCTTCCCAATTTCTTAATTTTGGAGAATTTAGTTAGGTTTTTGATCCAACAGATTCCCCATCTTATTCCCCAAAATAGGGATGGAGGAGAAAAAAATGGGGAAGCTTCCTCAAATCTGAAGCATTCTTCAAATTTTTGGAGGAAAAAAATGATTCTTTAAAATGGGGAAGGTGTTGGAGTTGGTGTAAAAATAATTTAAAGAATATGACATTTATTTCCATATTTTAGAATAAAATTTTAGAGAAACTGTTGGAGATGCCCTCAATACCCTATCCAATTGAGATCTCAAAACCCTCTCCTCTCTCTCGGGCCCAATACTTTGAGAAGCTGCAAGAATCGAGGGGTTTTACTCTTGATGGGTGTTTTAATACGCGTGAGTAATAGAATTAGGGGAATATATTTTCGTCTTTATGCCAAACAGCGAATATTTTAGATTATTTATTTGCAACGTTTTACAAATGTAGTCATCTATTAAGTGAAGAAACGAAAACAACCGGTCGTTTACGTGCAATTAACCCTCTACCGAAATACAAGTCATTAAGAGGAGGCCCAGCTACCGTAATAAAGTATGAACCCGTTAGGCCCAGTCT